CAACCCTCCTAATGCCGTGACCCTTTAATACAGTTCCTCATTTTGTGGTGGCCCCCCAACCATAAAATTATTTTCGTAGCTACTTCATAACTGTCATTTTGCTACTACTGTTATGAATCAGACAACCCCTGTGAAAGGGTCGACCCCCAAAGGAGTTGTGACCCACAGGTTGACAACTGCTGTCTCCTTTCACCCACTTTTCTGTTGTCCATCCCCCTGGGAAGGGGTTATATGTAGGTCATTGTTATCGGTCTGCTCCTTTTCTCCCCACCTTCCCCTTCCCCTCCTGGTATCTCTATTCTCATTATTGGTCCTGAGTGGCTTATCTGTTCTGGATTCCCTGTGTTGATAGCTCTTATCTATACCAGTGAACATGCTCTGGTCTAGCTGGTAAGGTAGAATTGAGGTCATGATAGAATTGAGGTCATGATAGTACAGGGAAGGAAGCATTAAAGAACTAGAGGAAAGTTGTATGTTTCATTGCTTCTATAACTGCACCCTGACTGACTCATCTCTTCCTTGTGACTCTTCTGTAAGGGAATGTCCAATTGTCTACAGATTGGCTTTGGTCTCTACTCTGCACTCCCCTTCATTCACAATGATATGATTTTTTGTTCTGAGTCTTTAATGCCTGATACCTGATCCCATCGACACCTTATGATCACACAGCTGGTGTGCTTCTTCCATGTGAACTTTGTTGCTTCTCAGCTAGGTGGCTGCTTGTTTGTCATCGAGCCTTGAAGATCCCAGATGCTATATCTTTTGATAGCCAGTGCCGGGGGCACACGGGAGAAGGGAAGGCGGAAAAAGGAAGTGGGTGTCAACAAACCCAAGGAACAATAGCTGATCTAAAATCGATGAGGAGGGTGTAGGATGCCTGGTTGGGCTTAATCAAGGGCAGTGTAACCGAGAGGAATCACTGAAACCCGAATGAAGGTTGAACATGATAGTGAGACAAGAAGAAAGTAAAAGGAAATAGAGGAAAGAACTAGGAGGCAAAGGACATTTATAGAGGTCTAAATAGAGGCATGTCCATTTGTAAATATATTTATATATGACGATAGAGAAATAGATCTATGTGCATATATTTATTATAGGTTTAGTATTAAGGTAGCAGACATTGGGCCTCAACTCAAGTATTCTAATAATCCGGCATTCTGTGATGCTCACCTTCCCAACACGATTGCTGAAGACAAAATGGGAGCATAAGCAAGTGTGTTGAAGAAAGCTCATTCATATTTTTTATACAGAGATAGTAAACCTCTGCTTAATATGATTTGTCTTAATTAAGTGAAACTCCACTAGTTTCTGTAATTTTCAACAGGGAGAGTTTATGAAACATTAAAATCATCTACTTTTTGTTTTTTTCTTCTTTTCATAGGCAAACTCCATACGAAGCTCGTGGAGTACGATGAGTCAGAGTAATAAAGAATCTGCAGGGACTCTCTCAAGATAATTGGTGAGCCAATAGAAACACCCACTGTCTCCAACAGTATCTTCTGTAATTATCTTAGACATTTTCACTTTACTTCCGAGCGTTGCACTCACAAGGGAAATTTCCCTCACTCTTTATTGTGTTTCTTAAGCTTACTACTGGTAGAAGCCATAATAGTTTCCTAAATAGTTCAATTTTGTTAGCAGATGCAGATCTTACATGTATAAATACATACATATATATGTGTACATGCATGTAAATACATAGTTTGTGTGTGTGTAGAAACAGAGAGCTGTTTTCTTTTTTTTTT